GACTGACACTTTTTTTCTAAGTGGCCCGAGGGTGGGGATTTTTGACAGATTAACACTGATCTCAGACGATATACTGAAGAAACCTGAGCCAATTTTAGAACAAACTCTGACTCGTCCCCAGTCGCCCGCTGTAAAAAGGGACTGTGGAAGAGTCAGGAACAAATTGAAGACTGGGCACTAGTTTATCGCTCGCTGTCTTGCGCGTTGTTTTTACAAGAAATATGGAGATTTCTGGACAAGAAAATAAACGCTTATAATCCATTTTATAATTATATTAATATCGATTTATACTTATATGTTAAAAGTTCACATTATGTACTATTTAAAACACGAGTACGAGTGTGTTTTATCAGATATAAAACGCGAGGCGCACAACTTAAAATACGACTACAAAAGAATGCTAATTAGGGCTAACAATTATATAAGAATACTGACAATATAATTATATAAGAATACTGTGTTTTATTAGCCTGCGTTCCAGTCCACTACACCGTGGTGTAGCGGACTGGAACACAGGCTAGTGTTTTATCAGATATTATAAACTCACTTCACGTGACATAATATGGCTGACATGTTTTGCCGCAAGGTATATGAATTATTAATGAGTGTTTTAAGTTATTTTGAAACGTTCTTTATATTTGTTATACTTTTAAATTATAGCGCCAAATGTATTTGTGTAATTTCCTTATCACCTGGCATATAGATTATAGAGTGCACCAGAAACCAAATACCTCAGGAATACAATTTCATCCCGGGGGTGGGGAATTTTGCCCAGGAATTTTCTCCCGAGGGAGTGGCATTTGACATTTTTTTTTGTAAAAATGTCAAATCCCCACCCCTTGCCCGACCCCCCCTCCCTCGGGGTTAACATTGATAGGTGCATTACGAACACAAAAGATCGTCCATGTATTAGCCCCCCCCCCCCTTGTATAATAAGCCCCCCTTGTATAATAAGCCCCCCCCCCCTTGTGTAATAAGCCCATCAAAAATCGCTTACGAAAGTATATTATACAATCCAGTTTGGGAACAGAAACTTTGCATCTAAAAATGAAAGCAGAAAATACATCAAAGTATAAACCCACTTATAAACCACAACATTTATGTAAATATACTTTCGAGAAACTAGGTGATAAAGGCCACGATTATTATTTACCATATATAAAAAACATCAGTTCAACATTAAACATATCAAGACCAAGATTTAACACTGATATTTTAAAAAGATTTTATAATTATTGCCATTGAACAGAACGGTGTATTTGTCAGCGTCATATTGTTTATACTGTTGTATATAGCACACGATTTCATCACAAAATTGTGTAAAAATAACTCCAAGAAAGAACATAATATAAACGTAAATAGTCCGGGAAAGTTATATCCAACGACATATTTTTAGATATCCAACATATCATTCATTTGCATGAACAGTTCCATGTTTATAATAGCACTTTATTGCGTATCTTGCGTCCACATTCAGCTCACTCTTACGAACGATTTCAATCACTTTCAATACAGTTCTTAATCTCATAAATACAAAAATACACTCCTCTTACCTTCCCCTTTAATGTACTATCCACAGAAAATACGATAAAAGACAAGATCACGAAAATTTTCCATTTTAATACTGAAAATACACTTCTCGCCAATACATTTCCCTATTATACTTGCTGCAATCTACTTGCCAGCAACATGGCGGCCGTCAATTTCCGGTGCGAGGCGGCAGCGTCAAAAACATCAAAGGAATGGCCTTTCTGTTCAATTCTTTATTCTGTGGTTCAGGTACATCATCCCTCTGCTCATAGATAGTGCTCTGCTAAAGCCTCGGATATAACCTTAAGCCAAGAACTGACAGAGCTATATATTTGTACGATTATTATATTGTTTATCATTCTGACTCGCCTTCAGCATTCCCGTGGGCCTTTGCATCCTATTGTTCTGTTAGAGAATCTCCATGGAACATAGCGCGTTTGGAAGAAGTTCAGTTGTACAATATGCAAACAATATTTCCATCCGCATAAAAGTATTAGAGTATTATATATAGGCTATTTAAAGAAAGGACTCGACAATTAGGGTAATATCAGAAGGGCTGAGCATGCATATAAGAACCAAAGCGGTATTATTAAGGCGGTAGACCTATATTTGAAGATTTATATCATTTTCAAACTTCAAAACCGAAAATCTTCACAAAGTTTTAATCAGCGTAGCGTGAGTTTATCTTTCACATTTGGCTATGTATGTCCAATTGTATATAGTATTGCTGAGATTAAATTCAGCAATAAGCCAATATGTAATAGTGCTATTTACACAGACTGACATTGTTTTTATTTTGTATACGTTTCTTGCATTGTATGCACACGGCCTATGCATACAACGTCCAGAAATATTCAGGACACGGCGCGGTCTACCGCGGTTTAGCTATAGTGCTAAATTAAATTTTCCCCCCAACAAACGATGCCATTTTTTCAGCACAATATCGTTTTAACAATGTTGACTTGTTTTAGCAGCGCTAATCAGAACTGATAACGAAGATTCTTTCTCTGTCAGTTAAAACTAGATTGTTAAACAAACACAGTCTCGCGTCATTAGTGCGCAAACACGAATTAGAAACGTTGGGATTTTATGAATTTTATCAATACCACCAGAAATGTTTCGTCTTACGACCCTCTTACGGTGACCGCCTTTGGCAAAACAATCCCCAAATGGCGCCGTGAAAGGCGGCAGTGGACAAATCTTTCTGCGGTTGAAATTAATATTTTGAAGTATGATTCGCGTTCTACCACTGCATGGCTACAACGGTGGGCGGCTGTCTAACATATTTTTAATTCAAATCCAGCTTTTTTTATTAGGCGCTCTCGTTAATTGCACGAGTTACTATGACAATATCATGCATGCATGCTTGACGATTAATTACCAAATTTGCCGACCGTGTTGCATTTGCAGTCACAGTGTGCCGTGTGCTATTATACAAAAGCAGTATAACAACGTCACTGTACACATTCGCAACATTATGTGACATGTCCTCTGTTTTACTAGCGTAATCGTTCGCTCGAACCATGGGATGCCACAATTCCAAAGGGATTATCCCGTCTTGTCGCTGCGAGCAAGCCTCGGGAACAATCTCTAAAAGCAGCAAAAAGATTGTGCAAGAAATGTGGCTCGATCTTAAACCTGAGCGTAAGAACTTTGGGATATCAATTTTTATAAGGTAAGTGAAGAAGTACTAGAAACTATTTTGGCCGCTTCATTTTTATTTTCATTTACCCAGCTATACACTCTATGAACGCAGCACATTCTTGCTATTGTTATTAACTAGATTTACTCAAAGGCAAAGCCCTCCTACAGCCCATAATCATAACAACTAAAGTTGTTTAGCTTTGTGTGGTCGCGTTTTGTAAACCTGTTTTGACAGAAAACGTTCGAAAAGCTGTGATGCTTTTTGCTATGGTAATTAACGATGCATGCAAAGTGTTTTAGTAATGATAGCTTAGCTTTTAATTACAAAATTATTTAGCGCTATTCCGTCTTAAAAGTAATCTATGTTGATTATATAAAATGTCTCAGTATATATGGTTCCCATGCAAGCGTGAATTCAAAGAAGAAAACTAAATTTCCGGAAAAAACCCTAATAAACTTCTCGACAACGAATGCGAAGGTTTAATGCGATTGCATGCATGAATTTTGAGTCACGAGATAAAAAGTCGTTAATATTTCGCCTATTTGAACTAATTTGTATACACACTGCTATACGTTGTGCGATATCGCAACATAAAGTTGCAATTTTGTATATATGTTTAATCTTGCTCCCACAGTTTTTCCATGCAGATAAACAAAACAAATCTACTGCCTGTATAGCTGTTAAGTTTACACAGGATTTGAAGATAACAATAACAGGCAGACCTGTCGCGGAAAATTGCTACCTATAAATAATATATATAATATGTACAGGAGGCTTAGAATGATTTACAACGGTAAATTTGCATTCGAGACAATACCAATGGCCAATTTCAAAGACCGCGCTCCTGATTAACAGATGTAAACGAACATTGTTTTGGAACAAAACCGTTTTGTTAGCGAATACAATCATAATGGCTAGTAATAGTAGTATATGCGGACCGAAATAAAGACCTGATTGATATACTACAAACGAAAATTTGGACAAAAAATAGTTCGTTCGTTTGATAACTCGTCTGTGACTGTGTTTATGAACGCGCCAAACAGATCTGCGCAGGACATCAATATAAACTTGCGCAGGACATCAATAAACTTGCGCAACCTTGCGTGCATAGTTGAGCTTTACCGAAATACGTTACTTGTTTGTTCCCATACAGTTGTCATTATTTATCAATGATAGCGGTGACGTGCAGACGTGTGTTAGGCCCTAGTATATAGTGCGCGCCTCCAAAATGTGACAAAAAATTCATGACAGAAGGAGTGATACCGAAGATAAATTGTTTTTCTCGGTAAATGTTTTGCTCATCCGATCATTAAAAAGTCAAAAATTTTTACGCAATTTCAAATATCAAATTATCAATTAAAAAATAAATACCCATCTCTGGCCAAAAACGTCACAAAAAGATACCATTCCGATGTCACACATGTCCTTTACTACTTCTGTGACATGAGTTTGGTAACTGCTTGTAAAATTTTCTACGGTCTAAAGTTTCATGTTGTCTGCACATGTACTTTCTTTGGACGCCATGTACGCATTTGCTTCCTGACAAATTGGAAAATGATCAAGATAGTGATTCATTTACATATTGTATTGACATAAGACTGTTGACATTACTTTTTAGTCTTCGATATTTAATTAAGCAAGTCATGCTTTGAAAATGACAATACATTTTTATTACCCAACCCTTGAGTTGTTTTGTTTTTCATTTACCCAACCTTTTACTCACTTAAATATTTGTTCATGAGTCACGACCGGTCACTAAAATTGCTGCTTTCTTCTTTCCAGACTCTTTGAGGAAGCTCCCGAAGCTCAAGATCTATTTTACAATTTCAAAGATCTTAAAAATCAAGACGAACTACTCCAAAGTTTAAAAGAACTCGATCACGTCGCTCGTGTCATGAGCGCGTTTGGAAATTGCATCGAATTATTGGATGATATGACCCAGTTTTCTGACACTGTGCAAAGTCTGGGGAAAGCGCATAAAAAAATTGGAATTAATGGTGGACACTTGGGCGTAAGTACTTTGACAATATCACTTAAATATAGGCATGCCAGTCTCAGAGTATGTACCTGTAGTTAACCCTGTCAATGATACTTGGTTCATTTCTTTCCATAGCTTTTTGGTAAAGTAGTATTGGACTTACTATCGGACCATTGTAAATCATCGTGGACAATACAAAAAGAGAAAGCTTGGAAGGACGTGTTTGCTTTATTAACTGAAAACTTTGAAATTGGTCTAATTAGCGAGGACAACAATAACCATGTTAGCAGTTAGATTTACATATTTGGCATGCACTAATGACATCACGGCGTCGTCATATATGCAAAGGCCTATTCTCTTTATGCCATCAAAATCATTTCGTTACCGTTTTGTTAATTTAATTTCTAGCGAGTTAATGAATGTCAAAAAGCAGTTGTTTGGTCCATATTTGAAATGGGTTAAATCTCAAGAACGAGAAAGCTGCTGCAACCTGAAGACGTCGTGATGGTTAATTCAAAAATTATGTTTCACGAAGACCAAGAATTAGGTGGATTTTTTCAATTCATCACAGTGGAATTTAAATTCAGCACAAAAAGAAAGTTTGTTAATTCATCATGTTATAACACTTTGTTAATAATAAATCTTCATGGATATTGATTTTGTAATAACCCTGTGAAATTTTGTGCGTATTTAGTATATAATGCGTTTATGTATTGTTTGTTGATAAGATTAACTTGTCGGACTGATTTGCGTCAAATGACGCATCATGCATTATAAAATGAAGTACTGCAAAATTTACATGTTTCAACATAGCGCCCACATTTTGTCTGGAAATATCCCTACTTTCCAGTTATATTAGACCATTCTAATTCTGTGGATCACAATATTTAATGCAAAACAAGAATGTACATTCAAAAATCATTAAAATAATTTTACAAATTTTTAACAAAAATATTTATACATTTGGCTGTCATGTCTGCTATTCGGATCAACATCTAGGTAACAAGCCAATAATACAAAATTACATTTCACCAAGAAAAACACTATACTTACAAAACCACTTTCCAAGTTTTGGTGACAAAAAATTGTTTTTTGAAGTGTCTGACCTTATAGGTAAACAGATTTAGTTTATCTAAAACAATCATGTTTTGACCCTACGGCATTCTAAGTGTTGTTCCACCTGATGTACGAGTCAACTTTGCAAGGCTCACACACATCGCGAAGATGACGGTCTCTGCACCAAAAGCCATTTCCAAAATTTATGCGAAGAAAGGTCTGTTTCAGACGCCGAACATTTCACGTGGCGAATCTAATTTTAACGACGTACACCTTTTGTTTGCATTAAATTGGTCAAGTGAAAAGTTGGCGACGGCTGAAATCGGAGTGATACTATAGAAGCGTTGAGAATTTTTCAACGTTTGAAATCTACCCCCTACGAACCATTTCTTCAGAGACTACGGGCGCTTTCCATTTAATGGCCTGACCGGTTGGACCCGAATTCTTTTCTCTGTATCAATGGAAAGATCTGGTCTATGTTTCTCAAATATCTAACGAAAATGGACCTCATTCTAATGTTATCTAAAATTTCTGGTCAGATAGGTCCGAACCCAAATGGTTTGTGTTTCATTCAACAATTTGACCGTTCTGACCGGTCTGTAATGGAAAGCGCCCTACGAGCCATTTGCGCGCTGGACACAGTATATATTGTAGAAAGCTTCGGATTAAAATACAAGGACAACTTCGACGTTTCGAGCGAAGGCTCTTCATCGAGAAGTTAGTTGGACGACGAAGGGGCTTCGCAACGTCGAAGTTCTCCTTGTATTTTTCAGGAAGTTGTATCCCTATCAATCCGAAGCTTTCTCATTATTGCCACTACCTACACTGCCACAGACTGTTCAAAATTATATACTGTAGCGTGTATATCATTGAGACCCACCGAGC